TGTCATTACAGAAATTCCAAATGAGAAGGTGGAGCCCTGGTGGTGCAGTGGTTAAGCGATATGGCTGATAACCAAAAGGTCAGCAGTTCAAATCCACCAGCTGCTCCTTGGAAACCCTAAGGGGTAGTTCTACTCTGTGCTAAATGAGAAGGTATGGGACCAAGCCTAGGGTAAGGACCATCCAGGAAGGATCGTTAGCTTCCAAAACACTTCAATGATTGGCTTCTTATTAATTTGGTGGCTCTAAAATGTTAGTATACGTCTTAGTCAGGGTTCTTTAGAGAAACAGAATCAGTGAGATGTATACATATATATAGACAGATTTCCTTCAAGGGATTGGCTCACACAATTATGAGGGCTGGCAAGTCCAAAATCTGTAAGTCAGGCAGCAGGCTGGAGACCCTTGCATCCCAAGATCCGTGTAGGTCAGGTGGCAGGAAGAGTGTAGAGCTGAGAGAAAGAGAGGGAGTTCGGCCAAAATATTTATTTATAGTCTGAAGGAAGACCACACCCTAAGGAACTCCCCTTTCAACTGATTGATTACCTTGTATTACACGATGGAAGGTAATTAAATTACATTGCATTTGATTACATTATGGAACAGCAACTTGTCTAGTGTTTGGCAAAACCACTGGGAACCATAGTCTGGCCAAGTTGATACATAACATTAATCATCACAGTACCTGACTTAGGTTGGGTTCTTCTGGAGCATGACCAAAAATTCGAGAACTTATCTATACTTGACTTAGTCATCTTTGTATCCACTACCTCTGGCACTTCGTAGGTGTCCAATTTATTAAATAGAACTTCATTAAATCAAGGGGAGACTCACATTAACCAAACTCAAGAGACTGATGTATAGAAAAAGAATAACAATTATATTTGTAACAGTGAGGACTATCAGTGCCCAAGGGCCTGGACACTCATGTGCTCTGACTAATAATTCTGTAGACATGCCAATGAGAAGTTAAATTATAACCTAAAGACTGCTGGGAGTGTGTGGAATCAGAGCAAGGGATTTAGTTTTATGATTGAAATGTCTAGTGGCATTCAATTCCAATGAGAGAATATCTCTATTTTAACCTCAGAGTAAGTACATTTATATCTCTATCTGACATGCATATTTATACCTCTGTCTCTCTCTATATATATATATCTGTCAATCACTCCTCTGTCTATCTACCTAAATTACTGTACAAGTGAGACCTTGGGCCAGGGGACATACCCCTCTTCAGCACTATCTAATAGAACTTTTTGCAGTGATGGAAGTGTTCTGTATCTACACTATCCAATATGGTAGCCACTAGCCACATCTAGCTATTAAGCACTTGTAATGTGACTAGTGTGACTGAGAACCTGAATTTTTAATTTTATTCAATTTTAAGTAGTGTAAAATACACTTAAATAACAACATATGACTGATGGCTAGCATATTGAACAGCACAGTTCTAGTCAGGATTTGAATCGACATTACCAGGGTTACATATGGTAACTTACATTTGTCTCTCCTTCATTGCTGACTACTA